GGGGGGGGGTGTATGACGAAGAACTACAACAACAGCCGAAACCACAACGGAGTCGCCTCCTGGCGCCAAGAGTAAAAAGGTTGCAGAAGCAGAACGGGCACAGCGACTAGAAGAAGAGCACGAAGCAGTATTAGTTATTAGGGTCGGAGGGGGGAAGAGGGGGGAGGAGTGCTGTATCGGGGCAGCAGCGTGAAATTGACTCTACAGCTCATTCCCAGTTGTCGCCGCAGCGCTCTCTGCCCCGCTCCTGGTTTGCGCGATACATCTCCAGGAGGGCAGCGCGGCAGTTAGCTTGTGACACCACCAGGCGCCGCTGGGCCGGCAGCGAGGTTGTCAGTGAGGGAGGAAAAGGGGGGGAGGAGGGGGCGCCCAAACTCTGTCGAGCAATAGCCGTGTATATTGTGTCTGTGTGTGGAAAGGCCACCAACGCTGTAGTACCGCCGGAGCATAGCGCTGAAATGAGAGGAGTACGGGGGAGGTCGTCTCCGTCGTCCTCACCTTGTCGCGGTTCTGTGATGAGCCTCGCTCTTCCCGCCTTCCTTGCTCATCTTGCTGCGTGCCGCCCTTTGTAACCCGGGCGCCTGTTACACACACGTCCTCTCTTTTCACGCGCCCCGCCCGCCCTTTCCCCTCGCCCCGCGCTGATTCCTCTCCTTTCCCAAACACGGCCGCAGGCTCCGCAGGTCCTTCTTCCTCCTCGTCGGGGTGCGAGTGCCGGCACCGCCCCAAACCACAACAAACTGCCGGCGGGGACCTGCGCTGTGGCGACTCCCCTCGCCCTGCCCCCTACCGCCCCGCGCTCCCTGCCGGCCGGCGCCGCGGGCGAAATGCCACCGCGTCTCGACTTCCGCGGGCGGGCGAGAGGCGCGCGAAATTCAAACGGGCCTGCCGACTCTCTTTTTATTTTCCTTTCTCTCGTTCTTCTTTTCTTTTGTTCCGCGGTGCGGCGGGGGCCGGGGGGCCCTCGCGCGGGTCCCGGTGCGGCCCCGACCGTGGGGCTCGCCCTGACCCTCGTTGTGTTTGATTGCAGTCGGGCGGGGGCGCGGGGGCGCGAGGCGCGCACGATGTGTGCGACGCCTGCCGGCGCCAGCGGCTAGGCCAGACGCGGCCGTCCCGCCCAGCCCGAGGGCCAGCCCGCGGGGCCCAGCCCTCGGGCCCCAGCAGGCCGACTCCTCAGCCCGGCTCGGCCCCGGCCCGCAGCCGCCGCCGCAGGCCCCCGCACGCGGGTGTGGGCCCCGGGGCCCTCGGGCTCGGCGGGGGCGGCCCGCACCCCCGATGGCTGCTCCTACCCGGATACGCCCCTGACCAGCTGTGGCGCCCCTTCTCGGTAAGAGTGGCGTAGCCATGTCGTGCCGAAGGGCAGCCTACCCCATCCCCGCCTCCCCCCTACCGCGCTGACATTTAAATCGCTGCCCCCTCCCCCCCTCTCACCTTCCCGTCGGACTGGCGGCGGCGGCGGTGTCTGCACCCCCTCCCCATCCTTCCTCTCAAAGCGCACGCAAACTGCATTAATTTTAAATGGAGCCGCAAGCAAAGCCCCCGCTCACCCAGTTGCTGCCGCCCGGCCCGGCCCCGCACTGGGACCTCCGCGATGCCGCCCTTCTGCTGCACAGTGATGGACCCCGCCTCCACGACAGCCTCTTGGGGAGGGGCACGAGGAACGGCGAGACGAAGTGGGGGGTGCGAGAGGCAACTTAGGTATGTTGACGAGCAAAGTGAACTAATGCGTCCGTACCCTTCTGTGTTCCAGGGCAACATGAAGCAGCACATGCTGACGCACAAGATCCGCGACATGCCGCCACGGCTGTTCGAGCCGAGCAGCGGCGGTAAGGGCCCGTCGCTGCCGGCGCCCCCGCCGGGGCCGGGCCAGCAGAGCGGCCCTCAGCAGCCTCCGCAGCAGCCGCCACAGGGCGTCAAGCCCCCGCCGGGCTCGCCCGGGTCCGCGGGGCCGCTGGCGCCGGGCGCCGGTGTCGGCCAGGGCGGGCCGGGCCGCGCGTCGCCGTCCCCGCTGCTCGCGGACAAGCCGCTGCTCCCCGCCGGCGAGCCCGACAGCCGCAGCCTCAGCCCGCGGCTCAGCGCGCCGCTGCCGCTCGCCCTCAGCATGACCATGCCCGCCGACATCCTCAAGGCCGAGGCCGGCAAGCGCTCCCCGCCCGAGGGCGGCGCCATCCCGCCCGTGCCCAAGCGACAGCCTAGTAAGTGTCCACCGCGGGGAAAGACCAGGGAGCCTTCATGTCTTGTACCATTAGCTACTGCTTCTCTGTCATGGAATCGCATCAAAGGCAATAACATCATTTTTGCCGTTTGCTGGGGAAAACGTAATACGTACAAAAGGTTGTGGTATCTATTTTAACATATTTCGTTATCCATCTGAGATGCATAATGTATTTATAACAAATTAGCTGGCCAACAGTTTTGCTTCTTACTTCGGTTAAATGAATGCCAACCCTTAACCAGACCCTCCATCGACTAACAACAGTCAGAACTGGCCCTCTGCCCTCTCCTCCACCTCCTACTCCTCCTCTGGCGCAGCCATCGCCATAGTGCCCCCGCCCCGGCGCCCGCGCCGACCCGCCAACCATGACGGATAGTCAGTCCATTCCATTCCTCATTTCCGATCGACTGCAGCAACGTCTTGTTGCGACGCAGTCTTTTCATTTGAGCCCAAACTTGATGGCGTCGAGACGCGCTGCGCTGCAGAGCGTGAAGGCCCCCTTCCCCCTCTCCCTCAATTGAAAAGGCGGTAAAAATCTGGAAATCGGTGGTCTCCGCGTTCAGCGGACCGCGGTTTAGTCGCGTGGCTCCGCCCACTGCCCGCACAAAGTTGTAATCAGTTCCTCACTTTTGCAAACCGGAAGCGATTTCCTCTCATTTCGTTGAAATTCTCGCCGGACGACTCTTAGCGCCCACTGCTTGCGTAAGCACCTCCCTAGTCGTCGACGGCACGAGCTCCAGTACTTGTCTTTCTCTCGATAATTTTCTAACCATCGATATCGTGCAAGGCGCCCCCTTATTTTTTTCTTTCATTTTTTTTGTTTTATTTTCTGGACGTTTTCACTAAAGGTGGTCCGTACCACTTTGCTCTGTCTTGCAGGCATGCCAAAGCACTTGTGCCATGTTTGCAATAAGAACTTCTCATCCTCGTCCGCCCTGCAGATTCATATGAGAACGCACACCGGAGACAAGCCGTTCCGGTGCACGGTCTGTCAAAAAGCGTTCACCACTAAGGGCAACCTGAAGGTAAATATTTTGTCCCAACCCACTTCCGTAGCAGCATGGGCGTTTTCTTTTCTGTTAGAGTTCAATCGTTTTTTTTTTTCTTTCTCTCCTTTTTATGTCTTTTCACGTATATTGTAGTCACAGTAGCCACCCTCGTATGTAATCAGTCACACACCCCTCACCTCCCCGCGTTCACACTGTCTCCCTCCCTCTCGCCTGCATGCTAACTTTGCTAACACGCACACCCTTGTTCGCCTCCCCGTTGCACGAGCCTCGCTTTTGTAGCCTCCGATCGCCCGCCTGACCGAGAGGCAACCCTCCGTACATGTACGTCGGATGGATTGCCTACCCATCAGGTGGCGGGCCGCCGGCGAGCGCCTGGTCCGTATGCGGCTCATTAGTCGCTTGCGTCGAATGGGTTGCCTACGCACCAGGCGGCGAGCCGTCCGTTGCGGCGACTCACGACGCACATTTTTTGTCTCGAGTCCTTGACTCTAGTTTTGTCGCTTCGTAGTCTTCACTGTCTCGCTCGTGTCGCTCTCCTCACGGCCGCCTCTCCTCCTCTGCGCAGGTGCACATGGGTACCCACATGTGGAACAACGGGGCGTCCCGCCGCGGCCGGCGCATGTCCCTCGACCTGCCCATGCCCCCCATGGGGCCCATGGCCCCAAAAGATTCGGACTTCCTCCAGCGGCGGCCCGAGCTTTTCTACCCGTACCTTCCGGCCCCGTTCCTTAACGGCATCCAGCACAAGGTGAGTCCCGGGCGGTGACCTCCGACCGTCACAGAGCGGACTCCGGTCTCCGTGGAGCCGCCGTTTTGGCTGTGTTTTTCACTTTCAACAATAATTTTGCCTTTGTGCACTGACTTTGTTTGTGTCTGGATTGCAGGGAGTAAAGTGATGTGTGTCTCTTGTCTCGCAGTTGGGCGAGATGTCGGGCATGCCTGGTGGCCCTCCCGGCGGCCCGGGGCGTGACGGGCCTCACGGCCCCCACGGCCCGCACCCTCTCAGCAACGGCATGTCGCCGTCGGCCGGTGCCTCCAAGTACGCCTCCCTGCTCGGGTTCAACCCGTTCGGGCCCCGACCTCCTGGTGCGCCCGGTGGACAAGGCGGCCCTCCCGGGTCTGGCCCCCTTGCGGGCTCCACCGGCTCGCCCTCCCCCGACAAGCACCTTGGCACCCCGCCGTCCCCCCACCACCCCGGGGTCCCCGGACTCCCCCTCGGTGCCATGCTCCGTCCACCCCTCCAGGGGTTGCAGGAACGCCTCCAAGAACGCCTTCAGGATCGCATGCACGAGCGCATGCACGAGCGGATGCACGAGCGGCTCCAGGACCGCCTGCAAGACCGCCTGCAAGACCGCCTGCAAGACCGCCTGCAGGACCGACTGCAGGACCGCCTTCCGGATAGGCTGCCTGATCTCCCACGTTCGATGTGGGACTTTCAGCTGGAGCACAAGTCCCCTCAGGATGACCATGGCCTGGACCACGGTCGCCTAGAGGGCGCATCCTCGCCCCCGAACCACCTGGGTCCCCCACCGGCCCCCACGCCCCGTGGAGAGGGCTTGGCAGCATAGTCTAGACCCTGTCCTTAAATGAATTACTACATATCCTGTCCATGGTATGCTGGTATGGAAAGGTGCTGCTATTAAGTATATACACAGTACTTCTGTTGATTTTTTTTCTTTGTTTTTTTTTTAATTGTTTATTTTTAACTAGAAATGTGATCAGGGGTTTGTCTAATGTTGTGGACAGTTTGCAGATGGCAATGGCACACTGCATTGTTCCTATTTTGAAACTAGTCGGAGAATACTGGACTTTACTTCAGTATTCTTGTTGGAGGACATAAACTGTTCAATTATAATTCTTTTGTCCAGTTTAAGTCATCTCCTGGTTGTTCCCATTATATATTAAGTGTTTTTGTTTTGTCCTATTGAAAGAATGTCGAGTAATTATTAATATTTATTGCCTGATATGTTGTGTATATAAGATTTAATGAAAATATGTTATGATCTTACTCTAAATATTTCTTTTATAAAATTTTATGACATTGAATGCCTGATTGTTGTTCATGGTTTTGTTCCACGAGCCATATGAGGTCTGATTTATAAATGTAGTGTCAATGAGTGACCACATTGACACTTGTTTGGTCTCATTATACTTATGTTGTAGTAAAATTAAATAATGTTAATTAGTGCTATCATCATAATGTAGATTTTCAATGCTATTGTATATTGTAAATGTGTGTCGTTGTATAGATGTATATATGTAAATTGATCACAGGAATGTGAGTGTCTATAGTTAAGGGGAGCTTGATTCCTGACCAAACATATTATGTGCTGTTTTCTTTAATGGGATAGGGGCAATCTAAGGGGACACTACACTTAAATGAAGAAATCCCCACCAAATAAAAAAAAATCACTGTGATACTACACCGTAAGAAGAAAGCATAATCATAGTTTTCACGCCGGCTGTACTTCAGGAGTTGTTATGTTGTTTTAGTTACTTGCGAACTTGACTTTGCTAATTTATTGTTTTTGATATTACTTAGAATTACACAATCGTTCATATCTTAGGAGAAAATGTTGAGATCATTTGAAATCATGGTTATTGAGTTGAAAATTTGTTCAAATGTGTCTGCTATTTACAAATTTTTCTCATTTTGATCTTCTGTTAGGGTAAGAGTAATGTTGCACTGTGACTGGTATGATGGTTGAAAAATATTTACTTATCTCATGAAATATTGTTCCAAATTTCTTGTAATCATAACACGTAATAACTGACTTGTATAATTACAAATTAAAAGGCATTTTAAAGTTTGTTTTTGAATGAAAAGAAGTATTTTTGTTTTTTCTTCCCATATGTTAATGACTGATGAACTCTGTTGTGAATTGTACTTATCGTCCACTGAGAAAAATATCCATAATCATCTAATAGTGTGTCCTCCAGGCAAAACAAGTTCATTTTCAGTACTCTCTTTTCTATGATAAACATTTTGGCATGTGTCAGCATTACCACTTCCTTCCTATCTGCTAAACTACAGCGGTACTTTTCATTTTGATTTTTAAAGTAGTATAGATACCAACCTCTCTGTTTCCACTGCTTTTGAAAGAAATACATTGTACGTGAATTGTATGATTTTGTGACATGTGAAAGTTGTGCACAGTCTAATTATACATTTGAAATGCTTGTGTGCAATACACAAGGGTGTATTGAGACAATACAGTGTTATCCATCCAGAACATGGAGTGAACCGTGGAGTGAACAATGTTTCTGGAGAATCATGTACCTGTATAATGCTGCCTATCACGTCTAGCAGAATGGTACAAAATTTAATGTTTAACTCAATACAGTTTTGTTGTATTTCATTGTAAATGTGTTGTCATATTGTAAATTCAATTTCACTTTTAAAATCATATCAACTTAAGAGATGACACTTTTTCCACTTTAGAAACTAATCACCCTAATAATTATGAAGTTTTACGCAGACATACCTTCAAAAGAATTCTGAGGAAAAATTGGAAGACTGTTGACACATGTCTATAAGCTCTCAAACTAATTTCAGTTTTGATATTTCATCGTCTTTTAAAAAGTGTTTTAATTTACTGGAACCTACGTAATATAAAATGGTCAGTATGGTGTTGCATTAATGGTATTTGTTGTCATAATGGATGCAAAGGGGAATATTTTCACTTTACTGTAAACGAAGTTTTGACCTGAGACATTAGTATATTGTCCCTTTGGCCATTTTGTGTTATATTGAAAGTCACTGGAGACATCTTTCCATTGGCTTAGATCTATAGTTCTGGAAGTCATCTTCTGTAACCTGTACCACTTCCACAACTATTTATTAAGAAGCATGACTCAGCAAGTTATAATGTTATGAATTTCTACCAGAAGTAAATCCCCTTTATCCTTCACTAGCCCCTCTAGATTGACCATTTGTGTGATGATATTTTACAATTTGTTCTTTTTCTTCTTTTTAAAAAAAATTATGCTTCATAAGATACATTTTGTAAGATACATATGTTTCACTGTAGATGTGCACAAAATAGAACATCAACTACCTTGTTATACACCTAAAATATAGAAAAGATACCTATTTAAACTTTCTTTCCTTTTATTATATTTTCCCTCACTCACCATTTTTTCATAAAACTTGATATTTGTTTAATCATTGTTAGTTTTAACACATAATGAGTCAAGCTTGCCACATAATAAGGTGGAGTTATGACTCAACTGGTTCGTTGAGCCTGAGTTTGTTTGCTGTGTAAATCTCTGACTGATAAGGAATCGTCCAAAAGGTACGTCCGTTTTTTCTCAGATTCATTCGGCGAATTTCGGGAGCTGACTGTGAGCGCCTGCGAGACTCGGGGTAGGCCAGCCAGCAGTACACGCACGCATTGCAGACAAGATGTTGCCTACCTAACAGGCACTAGGAGCGCCTGCAGAGACTAAGCTTGGCAGTTTCGGAACTGCGAATGACGGACGTACTTACTGCATGACCCCTAAGACACAGATGCTTGTTGCTCCATATCCTAAAACACAAGCGCTATGCCCTGCAAGGTTTATAAGTGGTTTGTAGTGTCCCATCCTTGAGAAACAAACTGATGGTGACTGAGAGCAAAGGAGTGCCAGCTGAAGGCTAAATGTATTGCGTAAGGATCTGGTTTTAATAATGTTTAGCTATTGTGTGACAGAATGGGTTGGTGAATGTAGACTGACATAAAGTTACAAAGACAGTAAATTGTGAAAGAGGGATATGGCAGTGCTATTTTCTTTCATGTTTTCGCAAACAATTGGTGGCTTATATTTACTTTAAAACAGTGCAGAATACATATATTGCCACAGTCATATCATGACGCCGCAAAGCTATCAATTTCTCTTTAAAAAAGCAGTCTCAGGGCAAGATCCGAAACTTGGAAAGGCTCACTCTCCTGAGGCTCTTCTTGTTCTGCAGCATTATTTGTGTTTAATATTGAAGGCACTGTCTCGGCTTCAGCTGCATTAGAGGAGGTAGCTTGAGAAGATGTTGGACTGGGGGATGGATCCTCCGAAATAGAAGATTGGCTTGGGGATGGTTCCTCGGGGGCAGATGATGGGCTGGGCGATGGTTCTTCGGGAGCAGCAGATGGGCTGGCGGATGTTTCCTCGGGGGCGGCAGATGGGCTGGTGGATGGTTCTTCAGGAGCAGCAGATGGGCTGGGGCTGGGGGACGGTACTTCGGGGGCGGCAGATGGGCTGGGGGAAGCATCCTCAGGTGCAGCAGATGGGCTGGGGGATGGTTCTTCAGGAGCAGCAGAT